CTACTCGTGCAGCCGGAAAGGGTCCTAGACCAGGCAGGTGAGACTCAACTGGTGCAGTAGTGCGCTGGCGAAGGCGCGAAGGCCAGTGCGGTGTAATAGCGTGAGGACCAAAACGCTCACGGTGGAGGTCGTCGAGTCGACGGTAGGAGCTGGACGCAGTGTGGTCAGGACTCCAGCAGGTAGTGCCAGCACCAGGGCCTGTCAGGGCCAGGTACCCGCAGGGGCCGACGTCTCGCCCACTGCTAGCTGAGCCACTGCTGGGGGCGCCACACTTTGGACCCGCAGGCCCCCACTGACGGGAGTGCTGCGGCTGGCCCTGCTGCTGTAGAACCCTAGTACATGCCATGTGAGCCTATGCTGCTGCTGGTTCTGCTGGGGGCAGCCTAAGCTCCTGCTGGTGCGCTGGGGGCAGCCTGTGCTGCTTCTGGTTCTGCTGAGAGGCAGCCTAGGCTGCTACTGGTTCTCCAGGGGGCAGCCAATGCTGCTGCTAGTGCGCTGGCAGTTGCCTAAGCTGCTGCTGGTGCGCTGGCGGTAGCCTAAGCTGCTGCTGGTGCGCTGGGGGCAGCCTATGCTGCTGCTGGTTCGCTGGGGGCAGCCTATGCTGCTGCTGCTGGTGCTCTGGCGGCAGCCTATGCTGCTGCTGGTTCGCTGGGGGCAGCCTATGCTGCTTCTGGCTCTGCTAGGGGCAGCCTTAGCTGCTACTGGTTTTGCTGGGGGCAGCCAATGCTGCTGCTGGTGCGCTGGTGGCAGCCTATGCCGCTTCTGGTTCTGCTGGGGGCAGCCTACGCTGCTGCTGGTGCGCTGGGGGCAGCCTATGCTGCTGCTAGTGTGCTGGTGGCAGCCTATGCTGCTGCTGGTTCTGCTGGTTCTGCTGGTTCTGCTGGTTCTGTTGGTTCTGCTGGGGGCAGCCTACGTTGCTGCTGGTGCGCTGGGGGCAGCCTATGCTGCTGCTGGTGTAGCTGGCGGCAGTGTAATCGGCTGGGGCTACTGACGGCGGGTGTGGTAGATCGTGGGGAGGCAGGTTTCAGGTGGGGAAGCTGTTAAGGCAGCGGGCTACGGGTGAGGCGGCGGTTCTGTGCAGTTCTGTGCGGTTATGTGCAGTACTGTGCGGTTCTGTGAGGTTCAATGCGGTGGAGAGGACTGGGTGGGGCAGCTGATTCCGGGTGAGGTGCCTGGAACGGGTGGGGCAGCAGGTTTCCAGGTGGGGCGGCGGTTGTCAGGTCTGGGGCGGTGGTTTTCAGGTGGGAAGCTGTTAAGGCGGCGGTTCTGTGCGGTTCTGTGCAGTTATGTGCAGTTCTGTGCGGTTCTGAGGGGGATTTCAGGTCTGGGGGCCGGTTACGACGGTGGGCTGCACGTGCGCGCGGCTACGACGTACTAGCGCGGAGCTGCGGGTGCGACTAAGGCTGCGCGCGCAGCTACGTGCGTTCGTCTGCTGCGCGCTAGAGGACTGGGGGGCAACACGCGGGGTAAAACGAGTGGGGCGCGGGGCTAAAAACCGAGTGACGCTCGGCAAAAAAAACGGGTGGGGCGCAGGGCAGAAACGGGTGACGCGTGATGTCGACGGGGGGCGCGACCTACTCGGGCTCTACGGGGCAGGGCGCTTCGGGCTATGGGTCGCTACGAGGCGCGCGGGTGGTGGGCCCATAGACTATCGAGAGAAATTTCGCCTAAGGGAAAAAAAATCGCCTAGGGGAAAAATCGCCTAAGGGAAACCTAGCTCTGATACCATGTTACGATAAGAATGAATTTTATAGAAAATGTGAAGTACAACCCTAGATATAGCAAACCCTAATCATGCAAGTAAGTAGAAATGTAACACCTAGACTAACCTAAACAACACATATAAAATATATGTTGACACGACCAAGACGAGGACGAGGACAGCGCCCCCCTCGAGTCCTCTCGCGACTCCCTCCTCAGCCCCACACCCTCCAGTGGTCACAACTCAGACGACGACGTGGTGGAAGTCACCAGCGATCAGCGACACAGCCCCGGTCTCTCTGGCCTCCACATCCTTGGCCTCCACACGGCTGTGTCTCGTCCGCCCAAAGCGGTTGAACCCAAAACCCCGCGCCAAGCTCTTACTGGTCCCTACGCCAAGGAATGGCACGCCGCAATGGATGCCGAAGTCGCCGCGCTCGAAGCCCGTAACACTTGGGTTCTCGCCGACCGCGCCGCACTGAAGAGGAGACGCGTCCTCTCAGGCAAATGGGTTTTCCGCGTCAAAACCGCTGCCGACGGCACCATTGAGCGCTTCAAGGCTCGCTGGGTTGTCCGCGGGTTCGATCAGCGCCACGGCGTTGACTTCGATCAGACCTTCGCCCCTGTCAGCCGTCACACCTCTGTCCGCATCCTCCTCGCCATCGCTGCTGCAAAGCATCTCCCCCTCTGCCAAATCGACATAAAAAATGCCTTTCTCTACGCCCCTGTGGATGCGCTCATCTTCGTTGAGCAACCACATACCTACGGCGACGGCGACGACCGCGTGTGTCAGCTCCGCAAATCCCTCTACGGCATCAAGCAGGCCCCACGTCTCTGGCAGCAGTACCTCCACCAAATTCTGCTCGACATCGGCTTCATTCAGCTGCCTCACGACCCCGGCATGTATCGCCTCCACTATCGCGGAGACTACATCCTCCTCACGGCGTACGTGGACGACCTCCTCTACACAGGCACCAGCAACGATCTCCTCGCCCAGTTCGAGAAAAACCTCAGCAACCGCGTCGAAATCACCAGCACCGATCAAGTGACCTAGTTCCTGGGCCTCAACATCTCCTACGCCGCTGACGCCATTCATCTCTCCGCCTCCAAGTACGCTGAAACTCTCTCGGCCAAGTTCAATATCACGCATGCCAACCTTTCAACTCCTTACCGCAACCCAGCCACCCCACACAACCCCAACACCACCCCTCTCAACCCATCCGGACATCAGCTGTATCAGCAACAACTCGGCTGCCTCCTCTTCGCTGCGGTGACGTGCAGGCCTGACTTGTCCTACATCTCGAGTCAGCTCGCTCAGTATGCAAAGCGGCCTGAAGGGGAGCACATGCTGGATTTACAGCGCGCCTTACAGTACTTCATCTCCACACCGCACATTGGCCTCACCTACTCAACCCTCACGACCCGCTCCTTCAGCCTCGTTGGCTACGTGGACGCAGATCATGCCGCCGACCCTGCGAATCGACGGTCCCAAACCGGCTTCCTCTTCCGCCTCGAACCTACTGGTCCAATTTCCTGGAATTCCCAGAAACAAGAAATGGTGGCACTCTCCTCTGCCGAAGCCGAGTTCATCGCTGCCACATTAGCAGTTCGCGAAGGGCTCTACCTCCAGGAACTTCTCCAGGAGGCGAAAATTGCGACATCTGCGAGCTTCAAACTTCACTGCGATAACCAGAGCGCGATTAAAATCGCGAACAAGCCTGGCTTCGTCAACCGCACCAAGCACACTGCACTCCGCTACTTCTTCGTCAAAGATGAAGTTGACAAAGGCAAAGTCATCTTGACTTACTGCCCCACAGGTGACATGGCAGCCGATTTCCTCACCAAGAAACTGCCACGTCAGCAGTACCATCACTGCGGAAACATCTGCGGCATAACCAAGCGCGTCAAGACTTCGCTCCTCCAGGAATGAAGGGGAGTGTTACGATATGGAAATGTTGAATAAACATTCCTGAGTAACGAACCCTTAACGCGAAGATGACTGCAGCGAGGACGAAAGACCAAGCGACAAGACAGTTATCGAGACAGTTACAAGCAGGAAGAATTTGAAGTGCAAAGTGCGGGAAAAGTTCAAACGGTTACCGAACCGCGTACGGTTACCGAACCGCACGGTTGCAATCTTGCATCTAGATTAGCCCTAAGGGGAATGTACCCCCTCAGAGTACATGGCTAGCTAGGACCTTTCGTGTTCCACTATATTCCTATATAAACCCCTGTACCGCATTGTATTAGTCAATTCTGTCGAGATTCAATTCTCCTTCTACTGACATAGTCCGTACCCGACATTACCAAGCAATCTTCCGCTGCTACACTCCGTGCGATCAACCTGAGACGATCCTATAAGACGGTTCAGATTGTATCACCTTTGTCTTCCCACCCGCCCCCCCACTGCCCCACACCACTCCGCATTTTTAAAGCATAGAAGGCCCGTGCCTCACGCTCACCTTTGTGTTCATGGCAACGGCATACCACAGGCGGTTCCACTTATTGTATTTCTTTGTCTCTATAGTGCCATCTTAATTAGCACATTCAAATGTACACGTAACGTAAGCATGATGGTGTGAGTGACCTGCTAGCGAGGCGCCTGCATGCCCGAACACCGTGATTTGCTCGTGCTTTGCTGACTTCGCACTTGACTGTCCAATGCAACACGCCATGTCGAAAGCAACGTGGCGGGGAATAGTGCCAGCGAGGCAAGTCAGACGGATTCCACCTCGTCTCGTCGGCAATCCACCTCGCTCGCGCACTCCCCCCATCTCACTCACCCTATCACCCGCACGTACTCCCCCGCCCCCACCGCGCGACTCCCTTGGACCTATCTGCCCCACCCACCACCCTCCTCAGTCCTTCCCTCCCCCCACCTGTCTCAGGCGATCAACCATTTCAGCACGTCCAGTCCACTAGTAACATGCTCGAGTAATTCAGCATCTTCTGGCAACATGCTTGTCCGTGAGGCTCAGCGTTGTTCATCCAACCACCAATCTAGCACTGCATCTCGCCATATTGCACGACACAATTCGTTTCACACGCGCGCGACATTGCGCCAGGGTTTCGTTTCAGCAACCGCCATCATGTGTCAGGGGCCCACCCGCTTCACGCATTTCAGGTTCAAGCCCGTCTCCAAGTGCCCGCCGGGCCGCGCCAGCCATGAGCGCAGCCCTCCAGCTCCGCTCGCTGGCGGAGCTCGTCCCGCCGCCGCGACGAGCTTGCGGGGCTCGTTAGCAGCTGCACCCGCCACGAAGCGAAGGAGGCTGACACGATGCGAGGACTCCGCGAGCCGCATGCTCAACCATCTTCCCGCGACACGAGCGCCCCGGAACAACGGGACCGTGGCGGACGCGCTGACGCAACTGATTCGCTCGAAGAACCCTGCAGGAACACGAAGCGTCGGGCAGATTCATTGCGACACTGCGACGAGCGCGGGCACCAGCTCCGCCAACCAGCTGAGCCGCAGGACCCGCATGGCCGACTTGAAAGGGGAGCGCGCGCGGATCGACTTAGTGGCCGCGCGTGGTTCCGCCTCTGCCGCGCAGCAGGTGGTGAGCGGCTCAGCCGGTGCTGCGCGAAGGCGCGATTCGCCTCGTCGCGCGGACGGCGGCCTTCCAACGGCCGACCCCCCCGCAGCTGCGGCGCTGGATGCCATGTCGCTCGCCCGCGAGCCCCTGGGCCCCCCGTGCCACCTTGCCGCCCGCTGCCCTCCCCTCCCCCTCGGCCTCGTGTTTCCCTTGCCGCCTTCCGCCGCCTCCCTTCAGCCTGCTAGCTGCGGCTGGGAACGCGCGGGCGTAGCGCAGCCGGGGTTGGTCGAGGCGCTTAAGAAAATCCAGCAGCGACGGTGGGGAAGCGAGGGAACGGCGGAAGTGGCGCCAGTCGCGCCAACGGTGCGCGCGGAGTCATCGGAGCCATTGGATCCGCCCCCCTGCTCTGACCTCGACTGCGAATACCCGCGCCACGCCACCTGCTCCGCCACCTCCACCTCCGCCGCTCCACAGCAGGCCGTCGCCCCCCCCTTTCCCCCGCCGCACCCCCTGCCACTTACAGCGTTCCCCCACTGCTTGGAGCAGGTGGCGCGCGCATATCGCAGTGCGCAACCCATGTGGGCGGGGATGGGCGCAGCAGGGAGGGGTGGCGCAGATGAGCAGGCGGGCACAATCGCGAGGGTGCTGCAGCAGATGTCGGAGAGGAGGGCTGCGCAGGTGGGGAAGGCAGAGGAATGCAGCAAGGAGGGGCGGGCAAGGCGAGGGCAGGCGTGTGGGGCGGTGACAGCAGGGCAGGACGGAGAGGGGGGCGATGAGAGCAACAACGACAGTGACGTGCTGGATGAGCCGATGAGCACGCCCCACGACCCAGCTGCCGCTGCTGCTATGGGCGCGCGTGTGGAGAGCAGGGTAGCGGGCGGAGAGGACGCGCCAGAGGCTCTAGTGGACGCGTGGCTGGCGTGCCCTCCGGAGCCCCCTGGCACCGGCATGCCGGCTGCTGCAGCGAGGCCGAGGGCGAGTACGAGTACGAGTGCGAGTGAGAGAGTGAGTGTGAGTGTGTGTGTGTGTGCTTGCTGCCGTCACTACAGGCCATGGTGGGGAGCGAGGGATGCCTTTGGTGCACGGATGGGGGGCGGGGAGGGGAGGAGTGCAGAATGTGAGGTGGGCACAGGGTCCTTAACAGGTGGAGCTCGCAGGAGATGGGAGGGACTGGGGGCGGCACGTGGGTGTACGGATGGCATGAGCACACATGGAATGGGGTTGTAGCGTGCACCTGCTCTGGAGGCTGCAGCCATTGCGGTGACCAGCATGTGGGGTGGGGGAGGCAAGCCAAGGGCTAATGGACCCGCAATGGTGTGGCTGCTGAGGTGGCTGGGGCAGGCGCACGGGGAGACACAGGGTGGAGGGGGTGCGAGCGGCAGAGAGAAAGGCAAAGGAAGGAGGCGTGCGGGTAGGCAGTGGAAAATGCACAGGTCTAGGGGTAGAGGAGCATGTACTTATGACAATTGTACTTGTGCCACATACCACATGCCATCATGTTGTCCCCAGTCCGTATTAACTTCAGTCAGTATTATGGAGCCTTGACATCTTCAAGCTGCAGACTAACGAGCTCTCGATTTACCACTGCTTATTTTACACATGCATTCCTACAACCTTTGCTGCATGACCATGAAAACATTGCACTTTGATTTAGCATACCGTAACACACCCGATAGATACGCTGCACTCAAACAGCAATGTTGATAGGTTAGGCGTGAAGCACACGAGGCAGTGGTGAGAGAGCACGGAGGGAGGGTGGTCATCCGAAGCCGGCCATGCGTGCATCCCTGGGCGTGTCAGGCACCTGCACAAACGGGTGCTGCAGAAGCTGTACCACAGCGGAGGGAGGGATGCAGGGCAGATGGCGAATGAGGGGGGACGATGATGGAGCTGGCTTGATGTTTCAGGGCAGGCCTACATCTGGTGTCCCAAGCCTGCCCCAGGCAACTGTTCGGCAACGCCTGGTGCAACTTTGTAATGCGTTCAGGCATGAGGCACACCAGCAGCACTCCCTGCACCACTCCCTGCAGAACGCCCTGCAGCAACAGCCTTGTTACAACACACACACTTGTACATTCTCTAAGGTCTTCCAGGTGTGAGGCACACCCAAGTAACAGAAGCACCCACCTGAGCAGCAGAGGCACCCACCTGAGCAGCAGAGGCACCCACCTGAGCAGCAGAGGCACCCACCTGAGCAGCAGAGGCACCCACCTGAGCAGCAGAGGCACCCACCTGAGCAGCAGAGGCACCCACCTGAGCAGCAGAGGCACCCACCTGAGAAGCAGAGGCACCCACCTGAGCAGCAGAGGCACCCACCTGAGCAGCAGAGGCACCCACCTGAGCAGCAGAGGCACCCACCTGAGCAGCAGAGGCACCCACCTGAGAAGCAGAGGCACCCACCTGAGCAGCAGAGGCACCCACCTGAGCAGCAGAGGCACCCACCTGAGCAGCAGAGGCACCCACCTGAGCAGCAGAGGCACACATGTGGGCGGCAAAGGCGGAGGCACGGACCTGGGCGGCGGAGGGGCGGAGGGCGGGGTCGAGCTGGAAGCAGGCGGCGAGGAAGTCACGGCCCTCGTCGCTGCTCTCCTCGGGGGTGGGTGGGCCCGTGGTGGTCTTGGCGATGTGGAATATGGCCGACCACGTGTTGTCCATGCCCGGCCATGGGTGGCTGCAGGGGGGGGGTTGTGCAGGGGGGAAGGGAATGCATGCACGTTCCATGCCGTGCACAGGCACAAGAATGCAGGGTTGAGGGTGGCGCACAGGCATACGGGTTGAGGGTGGCGCACAATTGGAATGGCAATCACACACCTTCCACCACAACCATCACACAAAAGAAGCACATTGTGCATGCAGAGAGCTCAAACTCCCAGGTCAGCAGTGATCCAGCTCCAGGCACACGTTGCACACGGCTCCACCGTGCGCCCCCTTGGACTCAAGAGGCCAGTATACGTGCTGCTTGCGTGCGGGCTGCACTCACACCCTGTTCAGCAGAGAGTCACCCCCTCACAAACCATTGCCATTTCCACCCTCAATGATGGTGCAGCCCTGACCTGCCGGTGAGCATCTCAATGACGGTGCAGCCGAGGCTCCAGATGTCGGCCTTGCGGCCGTACCCCGCGCCCGTGATCACCTCGGGCGCCATCCAGAACACCGACCCGCGGATCGACTTGCACCCCTCTCCCACCGTGCCCTCCTGAAACGCCTGCACGGAGGGGAGAAGGGGGGGTTGTGGGGAAAAGAAGATGTGAGCGGAAACTGTAGTGGATAGTGCGATGCGAACTGTTGTGAGAAACGGAGACACTGTAACAGGGGCCGACGTGGAACAGATTGAAAGCAGGCACAAACCACCACAGATGATGGGTGGAAGAGAGCACGAATGCACGACTCGATGTGGGTGGTGGGGAGAGGCGGGCACCTTGGAGGCCCCAAAGTCAGCAAGCTTGATGACCCCATCGCGGTCCACGAGCACGTTCCCCCCCTTGATGTCGCGGTGGATGATCTTGCATCGGTGCAGATACTCCAACCCCAGCAGCAGCTGCCTCGTGTACACTCGCACCAGCGACTCGCTGAACTTGCCAAACTTTTCCAACATGCTGCCGCGCTCAAGCGACGATGCCGGGGGACACGTGGGACAGGGGCAAGGAAACGAGGGGACACCCGGGGGGAACAGGGGAACGGGAGCACAAGAGACAGAAGAAGGGGGATGCGCAGTGCAGTGATACATACAGGAGCACTGGAGATGCACACAGATACAAGATGCAGCCCCACCTGTGGATGGAGTCCAGTCCCTCTCCCCTGTAAAGCCCACCTGTGGATGCGGCCCCCTTCTTAAAGCCCACCTGTGGATGCGGCCCCCTCCTTAAAGCCCACCTGTGGATGGAGCCTTTCTCTTAAAGCCCACCTGTGGATGGAGCCGCCCTGTTAAAGCCCACCTGTGGATGGAGCCGCCCTCCTAAAGCCCACCTGTGGATGGAGGCCCCTTCTTAAAGCCCACCTGTGGATGGAGCCGCCAGAGACGAATTCGAGGAAGATGTAGATGGAGCCGTCGGAGGGGTCCTTCTCCATGTCGATGTACCCCACTATGTGCCGGTGCCGCATGCGCCGGTACAGCACGATCTCGCGCTCCAAGGCTGCGATGTGCATGGCGCGCTCGTCGCCCGCGTTGATCTTCATCTGCTTCACCGCCATCAGCTCGCCCGTGCGCTCGTTCAGCCCCAGAAACACCTGCCCAGCCCCACGGGGAAGGTGGGGAGAGGGGGGGGGGGACGAGGGGGCGGGAAGGAGTGAGGCACGAGCATGAGAGAGAAAAAAAAACGTGGCCGTGTGGAGGGGCAGGTGGGAGGCGGCGTGATGGCGTGGCGTGGCTCACCTTGCCGTACGTCCCTTCGCCCAGCAGCTCACCTTGCCGTACGCCCCTTCGCCCAGCAGCTCGCCGCGCTTCCACTTCATGGTGCCCAGCGGTGACACCTCGGGGTCGTCCTCCAGTAGCTCCTCCGGCACCGCCTCCTCCTCCTCCTCCTCCACCAGCCCCCCTGCCTCCTTCTGCCCTGCCTTCTCCTCCTTCTCCTGCTCCTTCCCCCCGCCTTTCTCCTTGCCCTCCTTGCTTTCCCCCGTCTTCACATCGTCCCCCGTGCCTGTCTTCGCCGCAGCACCTCTGTTCTCGGGCCGGGTCTTGCACTCGCACTGCAACTGCCCGCACGCCACACACCCGTTCCTCGCAGCGTCGTCCCGCCAGTCCGCACGGATGAGCTTCAGATCCTCCTCTGACACCGATGCTGCACCCATCTTCCTGCCTGCACCAGCTGAGGACGGCGGCACAAACGACTGGCACTTGCGATCGCTGCGCTCCTTCCTCTCAGCCCTCTCAGCCCTCTCACTCGCGTCCTTGCCTTTCCCCCTGGCCTCGCTCGCACCTCCCTCGTCCAAGCCACTGCTCGCGGGCCTGCCCCTGTCGCGGTCGCGGTCGCCCCCCTCAGGCACGGCGAACTTCACAGACCTGCGCTCGCGTCCCCCCCGCGGAGTCATGCGCCCTCCCCCGCCAACGCCGCCACCACTGCTGCTGCTACCACCACCTCCCCCGCCTGCTGCACCCGATGGGGGAGCCGCCCCACCGGTGGGCGTGCGCGGGCTGCTGTCGTCGTCACACGGCGCTGCCTGCGCGCCCCTCAGCGGACTCCTCGCCCTCGCACTGCCTGCTGCCCCCCGCCTGCCCGCGTCCTCCTCGCCGCCCGCACTGCTGCCGGGACTGCTGGCGCGCGGGCCAGCGCCATCGGCCATGCGCAGAGAGGAGAAGCGGCGGGAGAAGTCGGAGGGGGGCGGGGAGCGCGAGGGCGTGGAGGGGCCGCCCCCAGCTGCTGCTGCCTTGATGGCGCGCGACCGCCGGCTCACCACCTCGCTGTCACTGTCCGCACTGCCACTGTCCCTCACCTGCCTCAAATGCGCTGCCCCTTTCCCCCCTCCCCCCTTCCCCCCGCTCCCCATCCCCTCTCCCTGCCTTTCCTCAGAGCTAACTGACCGGTGTGGCTGCCTGTCGCCCCCTGCACCCGCGCCCCCCCCACTCCTGTCCGCCAGGGAGCCTCTGTCTGGCAGCGCGCCGCCGTTCCAGGAGGCATAGGGGTTGTCGCGCACGGCCCGCGGGGTGGACGCCCCCCGCCTCTCCACGCCACTGCCCCCCAGCCCCACACGCCCTCCCATCCCCTTCTCTCGCTGCCCTCCCCCTCCCCCCTCCCCCTCCCCCTGCCCCTCCCCCTCCCCCTGCCGCCCTCTCCTCCACGTCATCATCCGACCCCCCTCGCTCAGCGCCCACCCTCCTGGGCGTGGATGGCGCCCCGGCTCCTCCCCCTCCTCCTGCCCTCCCACCCCCCTCCCCTCCTCTCGGCGTCCCTGACCCGCCCCTGGGGGTACTGGGCCCCCCTCCCCCAGCGCCCCCTGCCCCGCCACCCACAAGTCTCTCCGCCCGAAAGTCAGCAAAGTTGCGGGGGCGGGCGAGGCGGGACACCTCGCCGCGTGCGCCGCCGCTGAGGGAGGCGGCAGCGGGGGCGTGGCGGGTGCGGGGGCCAGAGGCGCCCTCGGCGTCCGACATGCTGCTGGCGTCCCCTGCTGCTGCTGCCAAGATGCGCCGCTGGTAGTGCGCGCCCCCCGACTCCACCGACAGCGTGCGTGCCGCGTCCCTCACATGCATCTGCACCTGCCGCCGCGCCACTGCTGCTGTCGGCGCTGCCTCCTCCCCCTCCGCGCCCCCGCCCCTCCCACCCGTGCTGCTGCTACTGCTGGGCGGGGTGGTGGCGGAGGGGGCGGCGGGCGAGGAGGCGGAGGGCGGGGGCGCGGGCGCGGGCCAGGGGAGAGCGGGCGAGTCGTCGTGGCGGTCGTTCTCCCACGCCTGCTGGAAGATCTGCTCGTTGCTCTCCACCATCTCCGCAGGACTCTCGTACCCCTCCTCCCCCCGCCCCCCCCGCCGTGCCTCCTTCTCACTGCCCCCCCCGCTGCCCCACTCATCCCCGCGCCCCCCCCACCGGTCGCCAGCCATGCGCCCGCGCATGCTGCCCGCGCTGCCCCCGGCGGTGGCCTCTACGGCAGCGGAGGCGGCCGCCCTCATGCGCGCCATGCCCGCACGGGGGGACGCCACTCGGTGCGACGTTGCGCCGTTTATGCCTGGGCGGGGTGGGGGGGAAGGAGGAGGGCGGGGCACGGGCGGGGGGAGGGTAGTTACGCGAAGGAAGGGGCATGGCGCCCTGTGAGAAAGGGTGAGGCGCAGCAGCAGCAGCAGCAGCGAGCGGCGATGGTTCATGTAGCAGGCGGTGGTGCCCGAGCGGAGTGGAGCAAGAGCAGGGAAGGGAAGGGAAGGCACACCTTGGTCGTCCCACGAGTCGTCCCCCAGCAGCCCCCCCTCATGCGGGCTGCGCCGCTCCATGCCGCCAGGGCTGGCGGGGGGGGACGCGCCCATGGCAGCAGCAGGCGTGGCGGAGGCGGCGAGGTGCGCGTGGGGGGGCAGGAGGCCGTGGCGGTGGTGGTAGTCGTGCAGCTTGGAGAAGAGCGCTCGGATGCGGTCCGTGCTGGCCAGCTGCTGCGGCAGCAGCCCGTCGCTGTTGCGCGCATACATGTTGGCGCCCGCCACCAGCAGCAGCTTTATCATGCCCCTGCCCCACAGGGAAGGGTGGGCAGAAGCGGCAGGCGGGAGAAAGGGCTCAGAATGCGAGCAGGTCAAGGCGGGCATAGCGCATGAAAGTGTTTTCGAACCAGCCCCCGAGGAATTGTGCATATGATGAATGGAACAAACAGACTGGCAGATGATACCAATACACGTGGTGGCACATCCACCACATGTGGCACATATAAAACACATGGCTCATTGAGTCACATTGCAACCCTGAGCATCAGAGATGGAGAGGTAAAAGAGGCGTGAGGCAGGATAGGGTGTGGCAAGGGGGGAGGTGGAGGAGGGGTACCGGTGGGCGTCAGCGCAGGCGTAGTGCAGCGCGGTGCAGAGCTGCGCGTCGTGGGCGTTGATGTCGGCGCCGTGTGACAGCAGCAGCGTCACCGCCTTCTCACTGCCCGCCTGCACCGCCAGCAGTATGGGCGGCATCTGCCCACGCCCAAGGGGGAGTGGGGGGAGCAACGCAAATGGGGTAGGCAAGGGAAGGACGGCGAAAAGGGGAGGGAAGAACTTAAAATACAAGTATGCTTGAAGACTCTCTGGGGGCTCGGAAAGAACTGACCGACTGCTACACCCACCTGGGACGCATGCTGCACTCACCTGCGACGCGTGCCCGACCCACATGGGACGCGTGCTGCACCCACCTGGGACGCGTGCCCCCCATCGGGGTCGGCCCCCCACTCGAGCAGCGCAGCAGCGGCGTCTACGCTGCCCGCCACCACCGCCTCGTGCAGCGCCGCCCGCCCCGTGCCTGCCAGCGCGCACGCCGGAGGGAAGGGGAAGGGGCCAGGCGCATGCCATGGGGAAGGGGGCAGGCGCATGCCATGAGGAAGGGGCCAGGCGCATGCCATGCGGAAGGGGGCAGGCTCATGCCATGGGGAAGGGGCCAGGCGCATGCCATGGGGACGCGAATGAGGAGATGCGGCGAGGCAGACGAGACGTGGAGGAGGGGGGAGCGAAGAGTGGATAACATGTGAGAAGGGAGCCGAAGTTGAAGGGTAAAAGCCGGAGGGAGGAGGGTACGCAGAGGAGGGGGGATGAGAGTCGCGGCGTACCAGGGTGGTTGCAGTGCAGCAGCGCGGTGCGCGAGGGCGCGTCCTGCAGGATGCGGTTGACGCGCGCCACGTCGTCGTCCCGCACCGCCTCCAGCAGCGCCAGCACGCCGCGCAGCACCTCCGCCTCGCCGCGCGACGACGCCTGATAGCTGCCCGTCGGCGCGCCCCCCATGCCCATGCCCGACAGCATGGCGGTGCGGGCGGGCTTGGGCACGCGGCGGGGACTCATTACCTCCTGCGGTGAGTGCGCGGCGCCGTCAGTGCCGCCCGCATAGTTGGGCAGCGACGAGAACTGCGCGACGGGGCAAGCGTGGAAGAGGGGAGCGGGGGTTGGTGGGGGGGGTGGGAGGAGACGCGAAGGTGCTTGGCGACGGTGCGACGTTGCATTGAGCGCGTTGCTCCTCACGATGCCGTCGATTGGTCAGAGCGCGCGCAGCAGAGCAAACATTGGGCGCCACGAAGCGACGAACCGGCCGAGAATGGAAATGGGAAATCTGGAGAAACATTTGATAAGTGACGGGCGACGGGAGACTCGACACCAAGAAAAATGGCTTGTCGCAACGCCTTCCCAAGGTTACCTGGCAACTCCCGACCCCTCGGCCTACTTCGCACCTTGCGCACTTGCTTCGCCTCGCCACCTCGTCGCGGGTCGCCCCGCTCGTGGCGCCCTCTGTCCGCCTCGCCATCCCCACTGGCATCCGACCGCACGTGCCCCGCGCTCATCCCCGCGCCCAACCCCGCGCCCATGCTGGAGCGCAGCGGCGACGTGCTCAATCCCGCAGCCTGGTACCCGCCAGACGGCGACGGCGCAGAGGCGCGTCGCACGGCCCCTCGCTGCGATAAATAGTCGGAAGCGAAGTCATTCGAGTCAAGATAGTCGTGGGGGTATTCCTGCGCGTACTCCTCGGGGTACTCTTGCGCGTATCCCTCCGGGTACTGGTCCGGGTACTCGTCCGCGTCCAGCACCTGCGCCGCCATCTGCTGCCCCTCATTCACGCGAATCAACGGCCGGCTCCCCGCCCGCCGCCTCTGCTGTCCCGCTCCGTACTCCCCTTCCCCCCCTGCCCCTCCCCCTACCCCATTGGACCCGGCATTTCGAGGCGAAAGCATATGCTCGTCGAAGGGGCTCCGCCCCCCACGTGGAGTGGTGGCCGCCGGGCCTGGGTGTCCAGGTCCGCGATGGCGATTCACCACGCGAGGCGGACTGCCCTCACCGTCGCTCACGGCGCGCGTCATGGTCAGTTACAGAATGAAAACGCCTCATCGCAATGTGAGCCCCTAACTTAATTGATTTTGCAGGCATCGCTCTACCTAACGGGTCTAACCTGTGGTGACCTGTGGTCCGACCAAGTCTATCAGCCATGAAACGATTGGCGAGCTAAAAGTTCGACGGGTGTATCAAACCCTAGCTGGCGACAAGTGCATCCAGGCAATCTCGAGGGCAGAGGACGAATTTGCCATCTTGAAGTTGGCTCGGTAACCTGCAATATGCTACCCGTAAGAAATAAAAATTTCCTTAGAGAGTGTGTCTTTTTGACGCAAATCTTGAAGTTTA